TTTTGGGAGACAAACTCTTTGGAAGTGACCCTTTTTACCACAATCTTTTCGCACTAAAGCGAGGGGACGAAAAGCCGTCATCCGCGGCTATAACCGGGTTGGCGAACCACTTGTAGTTCACCTAGGAAAATTGGCCAAAACCAAACCACACTCACAACTTCCTGGTTGTGGTCACCGGTTCGATTGGGCATCGAGGTGTATTGGGCACCTTGGACGTTTGGCCCCGTGCAAAGGGCGTATGATCCGATAATGTGGCCCCAATGGATTGCGATTTTCGCACACCTTCGCACTAAAGCGAGGGGACGAAAAGCCGTCATCCGCGGCTATAACCGGGTTGGCGAACCACTTGTAGTTCACCTAGGAAAATTGGCCAAAACCAAACCACACTCACAACTTCCTGGTTGTGGTCACCGGTTCGATTGGGCATCGAGGTGTATTGGGCACCTTGGACGTTTGGCCCCGTGCAAAGGGCGTATGATCCGATAATGTGGCCCCAATGGATTGCGATTTTCGCACACCGCCCCGCTGCCTTGTGGATCAGACTTTGGCTAGCCATAGGCTTCTGTTGTGTATTTCTCAAGCAAATTCACCTGCCTAGGCCTGGGTAACCTGGCAGTATTCCGCTCGCGTGCAAATCATGGAACTCTTTTCTCTTTCATAAGGATTATTGTACCATAATTTGTTTGGCATACGTGTGTGGCAGACGCGTGTGAAAAAATATATTTTACGAAGACTATCTCTTACAGGGCACCTCGAGCGAGGGTTTCCTTGTCGAGGCCACAGAAAAAAGCACTTAGGGCGGACTACGGCGACGATACTATCGTTGGAGCACCTGAAACTGTAATCTCTTCCTAGAAACTTCAATTTTTGAAGGAACTGATCGAGAGTTTGCTCACTGTCCTGTTAGGTTGTGGCAAGGATATGACGAACGACGACCTCATTTTTGGGCGCACATGGAGGTTAATGAGCGTCTCCATTGCTATTTCATAGGTTTCACATTCCACGACATGTTCGTAGACAGCAGGGGATATGTATGAAATCACATTTTTTGGTTTGTCGTGTTTCCACTGACTTGAGGAGACTGAGAAAAGTCGTGTACCAATGGTCCCACTTCCTGGTAGCATCTGGTGAGTTAGGTTCAACATCAAACCGTTCAAGGCGTAATATTCTATTCTAATCTATGTCGAATAAATTGAAGTGTTATTGCGGGATGCACGAGAAACCAGAATGAGAAAGGCCCAAACGTTAAGCTTTATTGGACATACAGCGTACGCATGGAAGCTGAAAAATTGAGAGATATAAGTCAAAAAAGCGATATACGAAGTATTGTGTCAAAACCTGCGATACTGAATCCTGAATCCTTCCTAATCTGACCTGTGTCGTATTCCCGTCATCACTTCTTGATTTTTTTACTTTGGCTGGATTGACGTTCCAGAGACATCCTTGATGTGCGAAAATCCGCGAAGTGAGTTTTTTAAAACCCTTCCAACACCTATGAACTTTTCCCATATTCTTACTGGGACTTCATTTGCTCTTAAATACCACAGTATTCCACAAGCGAGACGTGTTAACACGAAAGCGTTTAGAATCAGTTTGTGCAAGGCGTGAGGCGTGTATCTCGCCTTTGAACCGCGGGCAACGCCTTCATCCTTTATATGCATATGTTTGTGTTTTCAAATATTGATATTCATAATGGTCGTACTTATCCCTCCACATGTATGGACCTCAGTTCAGACGGAAGCCCCCGGTTGAGACGTACTTCCGGTCACATCGAGTTGCGTATCCATGTGTATAACTGCGGTCCTTCCCCTGGTGTCGAATGCGGGCCAACCACCACTACTCATGCTTTACGTTTGCAACCGAGCTGGCGCGTGAACCAGCTACGCTCCGATGTTTCCAGTCTGACGGATATTCCGAGTTCCCGACAATTATGGTCTGAAAACCCACCTATGCCCACCAATGTGGGCAATGTTCCTACCTCACTAGATTCGTCTGGTGCGTCGACACTGACGAAATCCGATGCTCTTCTCTGTTTGGTTAGTGAGTTGAATAGCCGGCCACATCTCCGTGTCAGTCCTTCAAGCAGCAGTGGCCGATCCTCTCGGGGTTCCAGTCCGCACAATCCTAGTCTAGCTGATCTGGGTCTGCAACCAGGCGAGGTGTACACACTCTACGTAAGTGAAGGTCTCAATTTATTCCTTATCGATCTTTCATTTCTTTAGGAACATCAAAATTCTTTTCCCTGATAGCTAGTTATTTTGGTTCTTAGTATTAGGTTGATCAAAACTTTAATGTTTCGATAGCCTATGAACGCTGTTAAACTACGATTAGTGTATTGTAGTGACAGTAGTGCGGTTTTGAAAATCCGTCTATGCTCAATGGGAGACCAATCGTTGGCACTCATGGGCTTCACGCAATCCCTATAGTAAATACTCGACGATGTGTATTTACGACCCCATGTATTGTTCATCGTCATATTTCACCCTCGTTTGTGGATTTTACTCATTTTTTTCATTTTGTGAACTGCGTTGTTTTCTTTAACCTCAAAGTCATAATGAGGATTCTGGAGACAGTGTCTCTTTGTATCTCAGTTTGAAATTGGTAATGGTGTATTTATGAAGCAGAGCAAACGCGTTACCCATAAAATTCTCTGGAGGTGCTCATCATCATTATATATTTTTAATCACACATTCGTATGATAAATAGCAGGTGGAATTTACTTCATGGTCGCGAAAACCTACTGTTCAGTACTTGGAGTGACTAGCCGTATGATGCCTTGGTAGTTTCGACGTAGTATTGAACCGGACGACATCAAAACCGCTTACCACCAGAGTTGGGGTGGGGGCTCTGGCGCGGTACGAACCTCGGACCATATGATCCAAAGCACACCAGTGACAGCAAATAAATCAT